ACTCAAGCAGTTATCAAAGGAGTTTGATGACATTCACTTATTTATTTTGTCAAACATTATTGATCACTTCCTGCATATAGAACCCAGAGATGATGCCCAGTCAATAATCATTAATTAATCTCCTACTATATGCCAAGTAATGTGCTAAGTGCTGGGAATACAAAGAAAGGGAAAAAAATTAGTGCCTGCCCTTGAGGAGTTTGCAATCTTAACTGTGTTCCCCTGTATGTTCACCTTTTTATAATACTCTTCCTCTGCAGCTTTGGGGTCAGTCCCTGTATCAACTTTCACACCTTACCTCTGATCTACAGGGCCTGGAACCTACGTAGGTAGGAATATGGTGACTTCAGTATTCTGGAAAGTGCTCACTGGGCTTTTCAAAGCTCTTGAAAGAAGGAAAAAGGAAACAGACTTTCTCCATACAAACCCTCCTTACTCTAAGAAGTAGAGGCAAGACAAGATAGGAGGCGTGACTTGGCACGTCCTCTGAGTTCTCCTGTCATAAAGACCAGACAAGATTTAAAACATTTGGTGATTTGCCAGAGAGATCCATGCAGGCACTTGGCATAAATCTTTGTATCCCACTCAAAAGATGAGGAAAATGAAAGCCCCCTCACAAAAACCCTCCTTATCTGACCAGCATTAGCAACAAAATCCATTTTTTTTTTTTTGGTGAGGCAGTTGGGGTTAAATGAGTTGCCTAGGATCACACAGCTAGTGTCAAGTGTCTGGGGTTGGATTTGAGCTCAGATCTTTCTGACTTTAGGACCAGTGTTCTATCCACTATATCACCTAGCTGCCCCCAAGAAAATCCTTTTACCTCAGTCCCTGACACCTCTTGTAATAATTCAACTTTATCTTATTCTCTGCTAGAATATGGGTCCCCACTTGGTAATCTCCACCATTAGATTGTGAGCTTCTTGAAAGCAGGGATCATAGGGCAGCTAGGTGGCGCAGTGGATACAGCACTAGCCCTTCAAGTCAGGAGGACTTGAGTTCAAATCTGGCCTCAGACCAAACACTTGACACTTACTAGCTGTGTGACCTTGGGCAAGTCACTTAACCCCAATTGCCTAAAAAGTTTAAAAAAAAAAAGCAGGGACCATCTTTTGCCTCTTTTTGTATCTCTAGCACTTAGCATGGTGTCTTGTATATAGAAAGTGCTTAATAAATGTTTTTTTATTGATTGATCAATCTTGACCGAGCCAAGCAGAGTCCTTTTCCCATCCGATGGTCTTCACTTGGTTCTGTAGTTTTACCAATTGTGGTTTTACCAGTGGTTTTCTTTCATCCTGATTTATTCTCAGCTCCTGTGTCATCAACTTTTGCTCCAGTAACATCTTCCAGTCCACTACCGATCTTTACTACCACAGGTACAAACTGTTAGCATCTCTGAATCCTTCCCTGGAGTTTCTTAATGGGCTTTGCCGTGAGATATTAGTATTTGGGGAAAAGCTGAATAAAGTGGGAAATCTTTCCTACCAGGGACATCAGTGGAACCAGGGTAATGAGTTTTCCTTCCAGAAAGGAACAGAACGGCCACTCGGTGTCCCTGGGTGTGCTAGCAGATGTGGCGCATGCTCACACGTAGATGTTTCTCTCTCTTTCTTATTTCAGTTGGTGGCACTGCTAGCCTGGAATCTTTCCTTTTAAATTTCACCATCATCAACTTACTCTACACAGAAGACATGGGGAACCCAGGTTCTGACAAATTCAACTCTACAGAGAGGGTCCTTCAGCACCAGGTTAGTCTTCCTCACTGCCCGTCCCATCCCCCCAACTGCACAGCTGCCTTCCCCATTTCTTGGTTGGGATCCGTCTTCTCTTACCCCAAGTTCACATGACTCTTTCCTTCCTTTGCCAGATCGGTCTCTTGTTCAGGAAAAGTAGCATTGGCCCCTTCTACACTGGATGCAAAGTGACTTTTTTGAGGTAAGCATTGAAATGTGTCCCTCACACCCTTGAGGATAAACCTCCAATGAAGTGTGGATAAAAAGGAAACTTGTTCACACCCTTGCCTTTAGTCTTCTTTTCTCTACTTTCAAATTCCCAAACAACTTTATCCCAGTCCCTCTTATCCATGAATTCTCAGAAAGATGCTTTCATTCGTAAGTAATGATTTAGAACAAGCAGTCTAATTTCAAGAATGTTCTATCCAATTGGGTCCTGTGGTTTCTCAGTACTTCTACCCCACACAGGTAATGCTAACTCATCAACTATTCCAAGGTCACTATCAGCCTTTCCCAGGTCACCTCAGGCACATGTTTAACTATCTCTAGACCCAGAATCCCCATCGGGTTTCTCAGCACCAATTTCATGGGTATCCATGTCACCCTCCACATTTTTTTACCTAGACCTATGAAGAATAGATTTGCAACCGGAGTGGATTCCCTGTGTACCCATCACATTGTCCCGGCCAACACTGTCTTGGACCGAGAGAAAATTTACAGGGAGCTGAGCAGGGAGACACATGGTATCACCAGGCTGGGTCCCTACGTCCTGGACAAGGAGAGTCTTTACCTTGATGGTGAGCTATCTACCTGAACCAAAATCTTGGCCACTCTCCCTGCCAAGTCTTCTACTATAAACTCAGTATCATTGTCTCTTCACATTTTAAAGCATTATTCTTTTATCCAAGCCCTAACTCCACCCTTACCCAGAATCCTTTCTTCCAATTCCTCCTTTGTTCAGTCAACTGTAAGAGACAGAACCTCCCCATACCTGATTCCCTAGACTGTCAATACTTGGTGCCCATCTGAGTTGTCATCTATTGTAGCCACAGATATTTGTACTTCATCCTCTTTTTCGGTTGCAGATCCAGCCTTTTCAGTAATTACTTGGTTGGAGAATTAGATGGCAGCAAGTAGAAGTATGGATAACATGAAGTTAGGAAGGATAGCTATCTAAGAAGTAGGATGGAATCAGGAGCTTGAAAAAGTTTCAACACACTGAAATGATGGTTCAGTTGCAACAAGGTGAAAGTTAATAAGAATCAATCTGTTCTGCAGGGGAAGGAAGTGGATTGGAAGGAGGAGGATCTGGGTTCACATCCTAGCTTTGCTATTCCTCTCAGTTTGATGGTTGACTAACTAACCTACATGGGCCTCAGCTCTGTCTTCTGTAAAATAAATGTGTTGGCCAAGATGTGGTCTGTGCCAGCTCCAAATTTATGATTCTATAATTCTAAGTTCTGTGTTTAGGATTTTTTTAAATGAAAATAAGTGTATAGATTTGGGGAGACAGGACTAGATGGCATTTTGTTTGAAACTAATAAGAGCCATCAAAGTGACATGGTGGGCAAAAACAACACTCATATGTTAATATGTTAATGCATCATCCTCGGGTGTAGGAATTCCCTCCCATGAGGCAAATTATAGCCTATCGAAAACTTGTCATCTTAGAGAGTTGCCCGAGCCTGAGAGATTAAGTGATTTTCCAGGATCACACAGTTCATTCAGTGTAAGACGTGGGTTCTGAGTTCAGATCTTCTTGGCTCTGAATTCCCAGTTCAAGCCACTTTGCCATGCTATCTCTGGTCATAAATGATTAGTCTACAACAATAGAAATTTAGTAGCCTCAAAGGAGGGAGGTGACAATCCCATTTTCCTCTGCCTTGACAAGCTGAAGCAAGTCCATTTTGAGGAGCTCCAGTCTGGAGAGGCAATTGAAAACTATAGGGTAGGGGCAGATAGGCAATGCAGTAGATATTGTCCTAATCTTAGAGTCAGGAAAACCTGAGTTCAAATCCTGCCTCACAAACTCACTGGCTGTGTGACCTGGGCAAGTCACTTAACCTCTCTGATCCTCAGTTTCCTCATCTGCAAAAGGAGGATAAT